AATGGATTCATTCAGCATGGTGATGCACCTGACAGGTCATATGACTAAAGCCCAGCAGGCATGGAACCAATATGAAATACATTACATTACATAGATTATGTAATACCACTATTAGCCTGTTTTTTTTCTTGAATTCAGTCCTGAAAGCAGACAATAATTCTTCTTCAGGATCTTCTTTGGTATCTGTGTTTAAAGCTCTTATTAAATTGTTTATACTGATCAACATGTATGTAGCATTTTACAGTTGTAGCTGGTTAAGGAGTTCATTTTAACTATTTTATATAAAGTTAGGTAGTTTTAATGACAAGAGGCCCCTGGACACTACTTTTTTTTTTTTAAAGGGTTACTGGCAAAACAGGTTGAGAATCACAGACCTGATATTCAACAATACACTGTGTTTTGGAAGATGTTTTAATGTGTTTTTTAATGTAAAATCTCTTAATCAGAATAACCATTTACTCTAGCTGTCAAATAAATGTACTAGAGTACAATATTAATGATATTAATTAATCAATATATCCTTTGAAACATATTGGAGTTGAAGTTAAGTAGCATAAAATAAAAAAGTAAAGTACAAGATACTTAGAACTGTATTTTCCAGAGGTAGGCCTTCTTTTGCTCATTCAGTTATGTAGGAGCACAGCGAACACATGTAACCACAAGGATCAAAAATCAGTAGTTAAAGTAATGAAATCAGAGTTCGAGTTGTGAAGAACTGCAAAGTGCTTTAGAGTTGTATCTTAGATTACAATGCACTGACAGCTACTGCAGAGAAACCAGGCTTTTGCGACCTTTTCTTTACATCGGACCTGAACAGCGCAAGCATGCCCCTTAGATTGAATTTGGTAATCTGACCTTGAATCTCTGTGGTTAAGGGGGGGGACACTCATTGGCCAGTCTGAGGAGTGGCCTACCAAATAGCAGCCTACAGTATGTATGGCTGATTGAACTTGGCTGCAGACACAAAAAGCACTCTCTGTCCTCCACTCCGCAGCCTAGAAAACATGCGGCGGGAAGAAGGGAAACGGCTCTCCCCAGCTAAACACTCTTACTGGAAACTCTACCCACTACCCAAACAAGTGGACTGAGAAGATGTGGGGCACGATGATCACTTACTTATGAATAAGACTTACTAGGTATTGAAGGCTATTCATCCTCATAAGAACATTTAAAAAGATGTAAACAAGATATGGCACGTATTCCCGCAGGATATCTGACTACTAAGAAATGCCACAGCTTGTCTGACACAGTGGAAGGACTGCAAACAATCATTTTCATTGTCAATTGATCTGTTTTTTTTGTATTAACTGATTAGTGTATAAAATGACCAAAAGGGATGAAGAATATGCATCACAAGCGCCCAGAGCCCGAGGTGACGTTTTTAAATTACTTGTTTTGTGTGACCAAGGGTGCAAAATATCCAAAGATATTCAATTTGTAAAGCTAATAAACATAGAAAAAGCAGCAAATCATCACATTGGTGAAGCTGGAACTACAAAATGTATGGAGTTTTTCCTTCATATATTAGTTGAACTATTATCAGAATAAACAGACTACTTGTTTCCGTGCTAATAGTAATAGTTTACAGGGAAGATCAAATTCAAAAGTACTCTTAAAAGTGTAGACACTTTATGTTATCAGCAGAGACAAGCACAGCACACAGCGTTACGTAAAATGCGTTTTGTATTACAAGTCTTTGACAGGTGGATGGCAGAAGATTTGTCCAAAGGGAGAATTACAATTACGGTAAGTCAAAAGATGTCACATTTTTTAGAAAAGAAAACAAAAGAAAATTCTAGATAATACAGACATGGCTTGCCATTCACTGAACCAAATAAATGCTAGTAGGTTAAAGTTACTCTGTTGTTCTTGTTGGGACTAGTACCTTGAGAAACGGCCTGAATCTGACCCCTAAAACAGCAGGTCTGTTACAAGCTTAGCTTCCTGACAGTAAGAGGCTCTTCACACTTTGACACCAAATGAAACTAGAACGTATACTGAAAACTGCTTAAAAAGTTCTGATTGCCATCAAGACGCACTGCAGAGGAAGTAGGGCTCATCAGTTGGCACAGTCACAGGAGTTTTTCTTAGGAAGGCACTTGACATGGGGGGTCGTGGCGTTTTCCCCCCCATGCAGCGACAGCAATGCACTAAGGTCCTTGTTTGTGCACACTGAGGAGAGGGACACCGTCAGCTAAGTGCAAGTTCCGTGATAAATCCACTTTCACCAGACTGGAGAGAGAGGGTGGGGGGAAACAAAAAAACATGAAGGCGTATCACAACTCCACCACAGTCCACAGCTTCAAATACAGTATCTTAAGTGGGTGGGTCTGCGCCTCTTGGATCACACTTGACCTTTTTTTTTTGGGGGGGG